AAAAAGGGCGGCAGATATAAGGTCTGCCATCACAGGGAGGGGGTCATGCACTCCTACGGTGGGACAGTGCAACCTGCGCAGAGGTCTTTATCCAGAACCTGCAATTCACCCAGCTAAAAAGGCGAGGAACCTGTAACTACAGGATAAATGACTGTATCCTTGTTAAAGTAGCGTTTACCAGAGAGTGAGACTCTGATGCCTGGCATTGACAGCTCTGTTGGAGCTCAGCTGTGTCGCCGGTAACACAAAGAAGGAGCAGTGTACATGCTAAAAATGGCCTCACCCACTTAACTGGAAGGGAATTATCCAGAAAATTTCAGAGTGTGATTCCAGAGCCCCAGGCACACGCTGACTTGCTGCTTGCAGACAAAAACAAAGCTTTTGGGTTGCCTTCCAAGCAGCAGAGGTCGCAGGGTCCGGTCCATTCCTGTTGCAGCCAGCTCAGCTCCTTCGCTTTGGAAAGTGGAAACGCTGGATTCCACCCAGCAAGGGGGTCTTTGAGGCAGGACCTTAAAGGGGAGGACGGGCGTGTGAGGTTACAACCCTGTGGTACTTAAAAGCAAAGGGTTACATCTCTGCTTCCTTGGCGTGCAAGTACATGACACTTGGCATAAGGAAGCGGGCTGATTTCTGGCATTGCAGTTCTCAGTACTGCAAATCGCCAGGTCCAGGTTTTCAGAAATCAGGGCCTGTCTCCCCTTCCTGGACTTACTTAAGTCACAACAGTGGCTTGAAGTCCTGAAATAATAGAATTGTGTTCTTTAAGTTCTGCTGGCTGCCTGCAAGAGGGGGACGTTGTGGAGGACACAGGAGACACAAGCTCCTGGCTCTCCTAAGCCCAGAGCAGCCTTCGCAGTCATCTCTGGGATGGCAGAAGTGCACAGACCTGAGCATGATCTGTAAGAACAAGCTGTTGGGAGATGTCGTTTGCAAAAGTTGAGGTCAGACCCTAAAAACCGCAGTTTGCACTGAGGCTTAGAACATCATCAAACTTGAGCAGATTTTCAATGGAAACGTTTACTAAAAAAAAAAAAAAAAAAGGCACTTCATTAGCAAATCCCTAGTCTAGCAAAGAGGCCCTAAAGCTGTATGACTTAAAACGTCCAGCAATATTTGAAGGAGGCCAAAATGTTTCGGCAAGCTGAAATAGTCTTAGGCTAGATTCTTAAAGAAGCAAGGATTATGTGAGCATACTGTGACTGAATGCCCTCCCCTCCCCGAGCATTTTTTCTGCTCATCGGTTTAACAGTAGTCACGTTTGACAGAGGACTAAAGGTCTCAAAGATACCAAACTCCTCCAAGTTTCATGTAAGCTGCTGCACAGGCAAAACACACTCATGGATAACAGATACGAACTCCTCTTATTAGTCACCAGGAAACCCATTCAGAAGGCAGAAATTATGAATACCTTAACACCAAGGCAAGCTTTCCTGTGAGCTCATTTGCAGACAAAAGACAAAGCTGTAAAAGCAAAGAAAGCCAGAATGAATGAGGCTCTACTGCTCACTGGACTACTTGTTTCTTAAAAATAGCTGATTCCCTTGGACTGAAATCCTCCATAGGTAAACGAAACAGTCTCTTGCAGCTGCAACAGCCTGCAACTGCAACCTGCAAATTCAGCCCAGTTGTTTATCACTCAGCAGAATTTAAAACACATAAAAGTAAGGTCTTCAAAAGAAAAGCATTTAGTTGCTTTGCTAACAGGCATTGTTACCACTCCTGTCTGTTATGCCTTCATTCAGCTATGAAAAAGATCTTAGTGTTTTTCTGCTCATTGCTTGACCTTACATACCCAGCACTGGTTTGCAGTATTTCATTCACAGCATTCAGCATATTTTACATGTTATTATCACACTAGGCAGACAAAACTGAGAGGTGAGGAACTCAGTTCAAGGTCATAGAGCAAGCCAACGACAGAGCTGAAAAGGGAATGGAGGTGTCCTTGCATTCGGCTTATCCACTCGCACGGACTTCCTCACACTGAGAAAAACCACCACTGGCCTTGTTCTCGTGGTATTTAAATAAAGAACGTTATTTTGTTGCCATTTGTAGGTGATATATTTTCCCATGTCCCATGAGAAAAAAAAAATTAGATTGCCAGATCTTGTGAGCAGTGTTAGACTTCTCACCCCAGGGAGTTCTTACTTCTCAGTTCCCGGTATATGCAAGAATGGGGTATTGTTTCTGGAAGGACGTATTGGGCCACTACTTGAAATAGCATCTTATCTCATCACAACCTACATAAAAGCATGCTGCCAGCAGCGTGCTCTGAGTGTATTGTGGTATCTTGGAATGACTGTTTGCCTCCCGGCACCAAATGAAAAGGGTTCTCCAGGAACACATAGTTTTCTTTGTAATCGCTGCCAAATCCCCACCTACTTTTCTACTGTCAATGTTTCCCCTGGAGGAAAACAGACATTTTAAAATTTCATTTCCAAATAACTTGCTCTATCAAGCAATGAGGAAAAAAAAAGCTTTTTCTCCACTTAATGGAATAATTTGTGTCAAAGCAGCAGTAATCTACAAAACTATCATCATTATAAACTAAATCAAAACCCAGTAAAGATGATGATACTGTTCCATGCAGCTTCAGCAACCATTTTGCAACTGCAAGGCAGCCAATCAATACTGCATTTCACCTCAGAATGGATTATCATTCATCTCTGAAAAATCAATAAAGCTTGACCTGTTCAGTGATTAAACTTGTTATCTAGAGCAACTTTCTGAACCCTCAGCAAATAAGAGTACCTGTTGGCTGGTTCAGCAAAGGTGTCTCAAAAATGACATGGGTAAAACTGGGCTTACAATCACCTTGGTTCTTTTCACTGTGTTGAACTGGTTATTTAGGGTTATAGAAAAAAAGGAGGTGGAAAAGCAGAAAAAAGCAAAAATGATAGGAATGTGTCTTTGCAAGGTTTTCTCTTGTCTCTCAGCAGGGATCTATCACAACAGGACAAGTATATCATGAAGTTCCTGGAACATTCAGGCAGAGAACTCCACATCCTTTGAGCATACAGCATGTTAGAGGATTCATGTGGACGAGTGATTTAGAATTGCTGCTACCTTGATTTTGCAAGAAGCCATGTTCTTCAGAACCAGGTCTGTGCAACTGCAGTGGTCAGCCACTGAAAGAACGAAAAAGGAACTCTTGGCCTTCTGAATTTTAGCTGCCGCATGGTTTACCCTACAGACAAACTCTTTTTAAAGATACTGCAGAAATCTGTGCTGCATCTTCTGATGCAGTTACTGCTCCAGACAGAGTAGCTGACAAGGTGGTAGAGAGATTAGCTAGAGCATGAACAGTGGTTTCTTTTTTTTTTTTTTTAAATAGAGACTGACTTCCACATCAGAGCAAGCGGCTGCATAGTAATCCTGAGGCTGTACAGAAAACTTCTGTAGAGACATGAATGGTCTATTATAAAGACGGACATCCTAGAAGGACGTTCATTCGAATTAACTATCAATTTTCATATGGCCATTAATCTTAGCAAATAAGGTCTTCTGTAGGCATGAAGTTCAAGACAGGATTAGGGGAGAATGTGCAATGTAAAATGTGACTATAGTGCTAATAATCTTTAGGGGTACTGCTACACATTAAAAAAATAACATAAGTAATAATGAAACAGGAAGTGGAAGTATTGTCAAGCTAGATGACTTGTATAAAGCCAGGAAGATTGGAGCTGCAGAGAGAGACATGGTTCGCAAGGTACTTAATAACACCATCCATAAACATGGATGAAGAGGATCTAGAAGTGGCTTTGGCCAAAAGACATACATATTGAGAAAGAGGGTCTTATAACTACATAGCATTTTGTCTTGTATCTGTGTTGACAAATAATCTTGATACCTGCTAGGTCTCATTAAAACGATAGTCCCAGAGACTCCGTGTAATTCCAGTTAACGTTACTGCAACAAGCTCCAGTGGAGATTCTGGTATTAAACTGCCCTCCACCATTCAACTTTCTCATTTCTTCATTGGAATTTATAATTCCAATAATCCTCAATAATTCCAATAATCCAACAGTCCTCAGAGCACGTCCAGCAGTTTCAATCTGACCTGCTACAATTTTGATGCTGACATACAGAAAGTGGTATGGAAATAAACATGAGAGCTGGATTTGAAATCAGCTAAAATAAACTTTATTTTACTGTTACAATATATATTCTCTTATCAACACAACTCACAAAGTGTTTACAAAATAATCTCATTTTCTGCTGCATTTTAAAACACTACTTTTATACAAACTTTGAAGGTAAAATAGTAAATTGTGGTTACAAATGTTTTTGTTTTGTTTTTTAGAAGCATCACAAAAATTACTTCAAATAAACACCACTTTTTTCTTATGGTGTCATCTTTGCAGGCAAAACCAAACAGTTATTGTAGAGACCTGAGGAAAGATTCACGAAAACTTTCTTTTGACAGAGGCTGCTGGTCTCCCCCGAGGGTGACTGCATAGCAGTGAATATGACAGTGAGCAAGTGCATGTGAGCTAAAGTAGGTGCTCTGAAATGCCTCACAGAGGAAACACTTCCCTTTCCCTATGCCAGCGATAGAGGGAGCCTGGTCTCCCATGCCTAAAAGTAGCTTTCATGAATCCCCATATTTATGACCTGGCAGCAAGACAACAACATACAAAGCTCTGATTCTTAATCCTGTGTAAGAAACTATGGAAGTCTTGGAGAGCATAATATTGAAACACTACAGTTGCCACAAAATTTAGTATTTTAATATGTTAAAATTAAAGTTACCTAATATCTTCTTGTGAATCTGGGAGTACAGGTGTGTATGATGCTGCTCATCATCCTCAACCGTGGTCTCCACTACAACACACTAATACACTTTAGAAAGACTGCAAGAGCTACCATTTTCACTGCTGCTAGAAAGACATGCTGAAATGAAAGAGGATCTGTGCTTGTCAAATCAATTGACAGATTTACATGACAGCAGAATCAAGCTGATAGTGATTATTTTACGTGGAGCAAGCAGGTAAAAAGAAGCGCTTTTTTCTTTTTTCTTTTTTTTTTTTAAACATGCATAGTTCAACCAGCTGGCTCATCTCCATTAAGACTAGAGACACATGATCCACCATTTGGTATAAGCCAAACTACCACCAAATACATTTCCAGTGCAAACAAAATTGTCTTTCTTGAAGAAAAACAACTAAATTTAATGCTACGTCTGAAAAACAATGCTTGCGATATGTCATTTTCTACCTATTTTGGTCTGAATTTGGAAAATTCCCTCTTCTCCCCAAATCACATCTGAAGACAGACAATCACAGAACACTCCTTTTAGGGAGATGACTGTCTCCTTCCCAGAATACACTATACTGCTGACTGAGGATCATCCCTGAGAGCACCGTTCCAGCTACACACTTCAAAAATATGCAATATCTCATAGTTTAGAGGAAAAAGGCAGTTAACGCTGTGAGATCCTGGGGTTTTACAAAGTATTAAAAAAAAATGCAGCAAGTCTGAGCATTTAAGTTCCCTGAGCTGAGTGAAATTTGGAGACAGTCATTTGTAATACTAAGCGTAGCAACATCTATAGCTGTACTTACAGAAGCTGTAATTTTTACAGTGGTAAAGTCAGATGTCAAATTACAAGTATACAGCAGTTAGTGGTGGTTTGTTTTACTTGCTTCCTGCCACAGGAAATAAGATGCCCTTCTTTGGTGAGAGACAGCACTGATGAAGCTCGATGACTTCGGATTGTTTCATCATCTGATATTCTAGCAATCTTTAAGTTACTGGTAGCGGAGCTACCACAAGGCCATAGTGCAGTACAAGCAAACCATCCTAGAGAGAAGAGAGAGAAACCGTACCATCATACCACTTTGTCATACCAGACAATGCAAAAAATACCCGATAGGGAAGATAGTTACTCTGTGGCAGACCCTCAGCCTCAACCTCATTCAGCATTTTATAACATTCCCCTTCCATAGGGCAAATATAAATTTTGAAATATCAAGGCAGAGAAATACATTTCCCTCTCCTCTTCGTGACGGAGAAGGGTGTTAAAAAAAAAAAGTAAAAAGACGTTATAAGGGAGTTGTCTTCTATATGTATAATAGGCTCCATTTACAACTCATGCTGCTTTCTGCAAGATATTGAAATGCAGAAAAAAAATTCTGATGGAATAGTTTTAGAAGGAGTGTCAAAAATCTGGTCTTTAACTGTAGTCATCAAAAGTCAAAAAGACACAGAAACGTAGTGCAGCAAAGGGGAGAGGAAACACACCGTTGCCTGAGCATGGAATTTACATCCCAATTTCTAATCTTAATTTCACCAAGTTCACTGATGGCTCTAGTAAATCCCTTTTACTTTTGACAACTGGGCTAACAAAGATGGAAAGGCAACATAAAAGATTACATAAAAAGTAAAACTTTTTAAAATATGAAATAATTGGTTAACTTGTAGACATGTAATTATATAGAGTCCTGGATACCTCAACAACATATAGTTAATCTAATTGTTACAACAGCGTTGCTGATTCTTTCCTTACACAGAACAAGCCAGCAGCTTACCATTTCTTCCCAATTCTGGATGCATAACTAAAATTCTCTTTTAATACCTGTACTTTTAATGAAATCAATCCATGCACAGTAAATGATACTCCCTGCTTTCATGGCATACCCCCGACTATGTACCTCATATCATTTCATCCTAGCAGTACATATTCAGGAGCTACTGATTCAAGAATTGTGCCTGTGATGATTGAGGAGGGTAAAAGGTGCAACGTTTCCTCAGACTGCTATTCACCCTCTCTTTTCCTGCTATTGCTTTTGTTTCTGCTCTGAAAGCAAGTTGAAGGATTTAGTTATATTGATCCTGGGTAGGAACCACTTTCTCCATCCCCCAGTAATGAAATAACACATTTCAGTGTCTTTTCCACATACCTGAAGGACTGTTGCATACTTGAGTCTGACACCACAGGTATATCTCCCTCATGAGTTTACTCCTCCTTTTTCTAGGGAGGATCCTGGGATGCTTTTGCTTTCCTGAGACAGAATGTTCCACCCACTCACTTCTCCTAAAATAATGTCGCTATACTGAAAAAGCCCAGAATAGTACTACACATTTATTAAGCAATGAATATAAGGGGGACACAACAAAATCTCTTATTTGATAAAGTCACAGCTCTCTTCTTCTGAGACTGCTCCACTTAGTTTAACAGAAAATCTTCATCTGCAAGACTGGACATTTCCTGTCTCATTACAGTCTGTTTTATTTGTATCACTCGATTCACATACAGCTGGTAAAAGGTCCAGCAGTCAGTCTGCTTCCGCCTCTGAAACTTGCGCCCTCAGGTACGTGACTTGTTGCCTTACACCTATTTATACGGACAGGTTTTGACCTTTTTTTTTTTTTTGGATGAGAGAACAGCATTGATCATAGCAGACAAGTTAGAATTTCTACCGTATTTTGGTTTTGATATTTTGATCTATTTGCACATAGGAGCTAAGATAACATACGTTCCAGATACAATACGCAGTTCTGTGTGACAGGATATAGCAGCATGTTAAACCTACCCCTCCCCAACATTTATTTGTCAGTGCTGCGGTACAATAAAATCATGGTAGAAAGTTCTACATTAGTGTCAATGTGTTTCGGAAGAACACTTTTTTAAAGCAATCGTTTGTTCTCTACGCAAAAAATGTTACTTGGTTGGTTGCATCAACTACTTATGGAAATCTCTGAATGATTTTGCACTGCAGGAAACCTAAAATTAAGGAATTGAGCTCAAAAAGAATCAACAGAACAGAATTTGCTTTTCCATGCTTCTGTGACATGCTCTTTTTCTTCCCTTGGGAATTCTTTTCAGATAGCGCCTATCAACACCTTCATTATCTGTCTAAAAGATGACCTCTTGCAGGCAAAACAAAGCTGTTTTTCTAGTAAGTGCCACCATGCTCTTTCAGCAAAAGAAACAAACAAAAAAACCCTAATTGCTGCAGAGTATAACTATTTAACCCTCCCTTCTGGTATCCAGTTTCTTAGGTTTGTCTGGCAGCTTAGTGGCATCACTGGGAAACCAAGCTACTGTTTTGGAAAGAAAAACGTTGCAGCATGTTATCTGAGGAGAAAAAGAAAGTGGAACAGCTACTGGAGTATTCCAATGTGATGAACAGATTTGTAACAAAGGAGATCAGATTTCCAACAGCAATAGCTTTGATCAATTTAGCCAGCATGCTCGTTTAGTTAAGACTCAAAACTCAACTTCTGGCTATAGATATTGTCATTTACTTAAAGAAGAGATCAATAGTCTAAGTCAGGAAAAGAGAGCACCAAAGAAGGAGTCAACAAAAACAATAACGATAATGAAAAGATTAAAATTTAAGATCCTAAGTGTGGCCATACCAGGGCAGATGAAAAGGATACCTAGCCAAATGGTGAAAGCCTGGATAAAAATACATGGAAAGGGCAAATATGTAGTGCTACCTCCCCGGAAAAGTTTTCCGGCCTCCACAGCCTTAGGTTTCCAGAACATCCAGAGTAAGAGGCTATAGTTTTGCAGTTGGTATCTTCTGGTGAATTTTCTTCAGTGAACTTGTTAAATCACTTTTCAATCCACACACTTTAGGCATCTACAAATTGAATCCAAATGCTTTCCTAATTGATGCCAGTCACATGTTCGAGACTGACGATCAGAACAGGGGATTAAAATGCAAGCACTGAGAAAAAGCAGGCCAAAGTATTATTGTATAAGAACCTTCAAAAACAACCAGAAGGTCACATTGAAAAAAATGGACGGCACATTGCTGTACTCATTGAAGGAGACTAACTATAGTCTGCTGTACATATATATTCATATTCTCTAACTCCACAGCCACCGGTGATACAACCACTTCAGATACAGCAAATGTGTGCCTGAGTCTCACACAGCCATTTCACTTTCCCTTAAAGGATATTTACAACGACAAACGCGGGCTTAGTGCAGGGTAGGTGCCAACTGATCTTAACTTCAATGAACAGAAAGGCAAAAAGGAGTTGTTATTCCTGTTTTATGAGTGCCAGCTCACTAACTTTCCTTTCTCTTTGCATCCTGTTAATTACTGGAAATCCATTGCTACTCCTAAAAGGACACTATGAAGAGGCAGGAGCCTTTATTTACCCATTTACTCAGAGCCTAATACAAAGTAGGATGACTATGTTGCAGTGTGAAGCTAGGATCCTGCTCATCCTCACTTCTCGCTAGGTACAATAGATACTAAGATTCTTATCAACCTCTTGGCACATAATATCCTGTCATACCTTCACAAAAGGTATACTTGCTCCTTGTACTTGTTGGCTCTGTTTCAGTTGAGAGAATAAAAGACATTCAAGCTTCCTTTTTTGGAGAACTGTGGTCAATATTACAGTTTTTTTTTTTTCCAGTTTTATGGCAGAGTTTCTTAAAGGAAAAAACACTTGCAAGAAAAAAAATGCTACAATGTACTCTTTGATGAATGAGTTTTCAAATGGAATATTTGTCAATAACACATTTAAAGAAATGATCTACCTACACAGAAAATACCACTTTTAAGCCAAAAGCCAAATCCATTGTAATTACTTCTGTACTAAGAGAAGCTGAGAGTTAATCCAGTACTGGCACTGCTTACTCTGTAATTATTCACTTTTTAAATATTACACATTTCTACACATGTTCAGTTGCCTTCTCTGGATACTATTCTTTGGGGAAATCTAAACAGAGAATGAGCTCTTACCATTCGTTACAGATCTCAAATCAGGATAAATGCACCCAAAAGAAAAGCAAAACAAAATACTTTCTGTTCATACAGACAAGTATTTCTCAATGCTTGAGAACAAAAGAACACCTCAAGTGTTCTTTGCTACACATTTCTGAACCTGACCTAACACACTTTAAAGGATCCCACCTGCTACACCCAAATATAAACTTTAGGGTAGAGCAGGCAGACAGAAACATCACAGCATACGTGTCCTTTGATGTTGTAAGAGCAACAGCAACAAGAAACGCCTCACTTCAAGTTCAATATCCCCACAGAGCAGGGTATAACACTTCCATAAGAGATGTGTGCTAGAGGGTCAGTGTAATTAAATTAGATCATAGATCTTCCTGTCCAGCTCAGGAGATACTAGAACAATGGCACCGGGTTACAAAGAGATGAATTACAAAGAGAGCAGTATAATTGGCAAGACCTCTGCCAAGGGCCGGGAACAAGGAAGCTGCCCTTTTTGGTGTTTCCCATGTGCACACTCATTGTATTCCTCAGTGATGCAGAGCTCTCTCTGAGAAGGTCAATTTCTGACAGGTGAAAGTAACTAGCAGCCTGGATCATATTGCATTTGGCAGAGGGGGAGGGAGGGAGGCAGCACAGGAAAGAAGGGATACTCCCAAATAGTTAACAGGCTTCCTTCCTCAGCTACTTGATCAAATTCATATTTACAGACAGATCTAGATGCTTGGTAAGAAAATTATTGAGCCTTTAAAAAATTTCTATCATGGTCTTTGATCTCTCCTTGCAGCAAATTCCACAAGTTTTGCACATTATTTTAAAAATTAAGCAAAGTCATTTCTTTTAATATTAATTATATCTATTATCTGATTAAAACAACCAAAACATGTCATTATGTGGCTGGTATCAGGAAAATTTATTTTTCCCATCAGATCACACTTGATCTTCCAACACTGCTGGAAAGGCAGTAGTTACTCAGAACAGCTAAAAGCCTGCTAGCTTATACCTGTAGGAGGCTTTACTTACTGAAGATCTGAGACATCACTATACATTGATATTCAGTGGAAGAGGCCAGAACATTACCTTGAAAATTTAGAAGAATTACTTAGAAGGACGGAAAGCCCCTAAAGAATTAAAGTGATCATGGCCCAGAAAAATTAAGTCATTAACAAATTACATCTTATGTTGCATTGCTAGTATTAGCAAATTTGAAAAAATCCTTCCAGTGAAAATGTTCCAAAGAACCCATGTTAAAACCTAAACCTTTGACAAACTTATCTGCAGTTTTGAAATCAGCTTTCTCAGACAGCAGAAAGATTAACTGCTGACATGAATGAACTTGCAAGCGAAAATGGGATTCAGAAGTGCAGTTATTTTCCTTCTCCTAGATGACATCAATGATAGAACTCAGGTAAATCAAGAACATATGTTTCTATCTTTAAATGACTTTGTATTGCATAAATAGCTACTAAAACTATTCTCTTAGCACAAAACGTCTACAAGAACCTCAAAGCGTTAAATGATAACGACAATTCTGAAAAGTGATTCTGCATCCTAGTGAATGCTACTGGGGCGATCCAGCTTCCAACACTTTTTTGAGGCTGGAAGGATGCAAGGACATAAGATGTCCTAGGAGCTCAATCTATAACCCATCAAATATCCTTGTGTAGTTGTAGTATCACTGGGCCAGGACAACCATTCCCCTCGTTGAATGTCAGATCTGGAGGGAGGGAGGGGAGAACAGACAACTTATAATTTGTAGACTTGGTCTTCCATGTCCAAAAACACTATGCAAGGTATTTGTATTAGAAATGCATCCTCTTATTTCTGACAAATAATAAGAAGTCAGAACATAAAAAATGAAGAGGTGTCACATTTACTGCAATGCCCCAAAAGAAGGAACTGCAGTGTATTTGCACCGTACCTACTGTAACTACTGGGCATCCTAACAGGTTTTGCAACAAAAAGAAAAATTAAGGCTGAACCTCATCTTCCAAATTTACTGGCAAAAGTGACTATGAAAACACAGGACTTCAGAAAAGCAAAGACCTTTCTTGGTTTGCCCAGCGTAGCAGGCTTGCTAGAATTCATCACAAACATACTGATTTTGTAGTAACAAAATTTGATACATCCCTGGAGAATGTATCTCAAGACGACTGTTCTCTTCCTAGAGCTGCTGATTGGTACTCAGTCACTAAATATCAGTCATGCAAAACTATTTCTGCAAAGAAATTAAGCCAATGCAGTTTTCCTTAAAGTCCTTTCCCAAGAACATTTTTCACACATGAAAAGCTTTTGTGTGAGAATGAAGTTTAAAAGCCCTTAATTCTGGCTACGAATTGTCCCCCTGATGATACCTGAAGTTTTTAGAAGAGGATATTTAATCACTGTGTTGATTGCTGCATTTATTTACAATCAATTCATTAAGTCAGAAGTGAGTTTATTTTGCCAGTGGCTTCCTTCTCCCAGTATCTGCCCCTCGCCCCCTATAGTGGGTTAGATTGCATTTTCAGTTCATATTATTCTGTAAGCAGCCAAGACAGCAAGCTTGACGTTTACTGCAATTGCTGCAGTGAAAGAGAATAGTCAACAAGCCTCAAACGTTTTTAAGGTCAGTCAGCACTATTGCATCAGCCATGTGCAAATCGTGTCTCTGTCCCAACCATTAGACCCCTCCTGGTTCCTCAAATCAGATACAGGATGTACACTGTCCAAGATACTTTCAAGTAGGCATTCGCTTCTTGCCTCTGACCGAGAACCCCTCTTGCAGCAGTAAAGGGCTTAACGGGAAGTTTAAATATACAGTGTTTTGCTTGTGTGTGTGCAAACAAGTCAAATGAACTAAATATGCAACTACTTTAGCCTTTATGCCATGTGTTTAAGTTGCTTTTCAAATATGATACAGTAGAAATACACTTTTCTAATAAGAATTAGGTCAGTATTAGATTAGCCATTATTTCAGACTGCCAGGATTTGATTAATGGAGAGGTTACCATACATCCTGGTTTACATCTATATCCTACTCTGCCTGGACAGATTGTGCTGTTGCTGCTGCACTTCTAGAACAGTGCGATCTCTCTTACTGTAAAGAGGCTTGAAAAGACTCCCAAGGAAGTTAAATAATGTCTTCTTACTTGCAGAGCCAGCAGCAATCAGTAAATTATCAACAATAAATAGTTGGCTATACACTCAGGCTGCTTTCAGGAGCTGTATCATACACATCAAGCATACTGATTGCATTCATTACTCTGCATCTTTAGTTTGTGCTTTTATGTTTGACTCTCTGACCCAGTCACAAGGCTAGTTTTAGCTGCGATGCTTCAGTCCTTTGATTTCCTGCAGCGATACAATCACCAGGGAGGATGACAAGAAACGTTAACGGAAAGAAAGGCCGGTTTAATTTATTTCTGGTATGATAGCAACTTGTTTCAGAATAGAAAAAGCTCATATCCAGAACGTCATCAAACCATCGAGAACACTCTTAGCATGTGGTATACACCTCAACTCTATTTCCAATATAAAGAACGTTTTGTGTAAAGCTGAAAAGACTTTGTACGTGACTTCTTCATACAAGCTGGTGCTACCTGACAGCTTAACAAAGAAGTGTTCTGTTTTAAAATACAAAACCAAGAACAAAGCCCCAGCTACCACACCTACCTGTATTGCATTCTCTCCTATGGCTCGACGAATTTCCCTCAGTGTCTGATAGTGTTCTAGCAGGTGATCACCACAGATTATGTCTACCTGTGAAAGAACACAAACATGGTCAAAAAGTTCAACCTATCCTTGGACTAGCAAAACTGTTTAACCACTTTAAATTTGGTATTTCATAAAGTAAATCCAGTGCCGGTCAGACGAGCGCTATTCTAGCACCTTGGACACCAAAGTCGTCTTCATCTTTGTTCTCCGAACTTATTTAGCAGGCCTAGCATTAATGCTCTCCCCTGCCTACACCTTCCCAAGGTAGAACTGAGGCTCGCTTCTGGAACAGAGAGGACAGTTTATTGTTTCACTCCCAGTTTGGTCTCACTGCTGAAAAAAGAGCTGCTTAGTAATAGTTTTGATGGATTCAATGGGAACTTAGGTCACGCATTAAAATTGTCTCACAGACATCCAGGGTCACTCATCAGCTTCGAAAAATGGCAAAGGTTGTCTGTGCTACTGGCAGGAGATGAGACAGTGCTACCCTTATCCTTATCCTGAATGAGGAAACACATATGTCTGCTTAATAAGATCGGTCTGAAAGAAGTGGTTGAACAGAAAAGAACAGCTCACTGCATGCTACTATCAGCAAATGCCTCACACAGCCTTTCTTCAAAACGCAATCAGTACTTCCATGATACAAGTGAAGGGCATACTCAGCAGTTCTAAGCAATGTCCTCCACTGCAGCAAAACTACGTCAATGATGCCTGCAATTCTGGAGGAGGTGTTTACATTAAGCAACTGCCCATAAAAACAGTTATTTGGGGAAATGATAGCTAATTCAGAACTAGAGATTCTGAAATCCTTGCCTTGATTTTTATAGAGTACAGATTTCTTTGTAAAATTACTATGAATTTACTAGCTGTCACCAAAAGACTGTGCATAGTGTAAATCCAGACTCTAACATCCCAAATTAGAGCAGCAAACAACACAGTCACATTCTTCCACAAATGCAGCTTAGTTATATTTTTTCATAAGCAATTCCTAAGTAGGGAAATGAGAGGCCTCTCCTCTGTAAATTAATTACAATGACCAAACTTTGAAATTAAGAGCACTGACAATGAGCTGTCCTACAACTTCCTGCAAAGGACAAGTCTGAGCTTTGCCACTGCAGCAGCCAGGAAGCTTACTGCAATATCATTACACATTCCTTTATATGGTTATATGGTCACACTGCACTACAGGACGGACTGTTTTCTCTGCTTCAGCTATTCATTTTGATTGGATTTCTGCTCTTCCGCATGCTGACCCACTATTTCTCTCTTGTTCCTCATGAAAAGATTCAGAATTATGCCTCATGCTGGTTGACTACATGTTGTTCTGGGAAGGAATTCTACTCCTTAGAGGCTCAAAAAGGTTAGGTTACTTCACTTCATCTGTAGCATGAGAACTATGTGGAATACTCCATCCGCTTTAGGTTGAATTTTAAATAATGGTTCTAAAAATGGGCATTCTTCTTACTCTGCTCTTAGCTTTAGGAAGAAACCAGAGTGTAAAAATTCATCCAGATATAACATTAAATATTGATGAATTATTGATCCTAATAATGATTTTTTTTAAAAACACCAGTATTCGAGGTATTTAAAATATCGAACCTGAAAGAAATAGATATTTTTTCTTTTTGAAAGCTGGCTACAGTCATGTCTCCTCTGGCTCCCTTGCACTCTAGCCTGTATAATTATTACCACAGGAAGAGAGGCATGCCTCCTATGATTTCTGGTGACATATGAGATTAATTACTTCTGGGTTATAAGCTAACAATTATTTATACCATAAGGCACTGAAAACTCAATCTTGCTCCCACTTTTGTGGGCATGTGTGTGTGCACACACATGCATTCTATACAGAAATAGAAAAAAATAAACTAATGACTACTATAGGATATAAACAGACATCATGGTAACCACTGACAATCTCGCAGTACAGAATCAGAATGCTTGTTTGGAAATTCCCCACTGTTGACCCTACTGTTTCAGTTTCAAATGATAGTCATTAAAGATTCAGTGTATTCAAATAAATTATGGAGAACGGTTTTGCACATCCACCTCCTTAGAGTGCTCTGAATACCAAATGCCTAATCTCCGCATTCTAGCGCCAGAGCTTGAATGTCTCCCTGCTAACTGTATGCTAAGATTCATTCTGCAAGGACAAGAGAATAAAATATACAGTGAAAAAAAAAATGCCAGCTAAGTATGGAAGTCAGCTGCAAAATATCTGTCTCAGATATCTTTGTGCCACACAGAAATTAATTAGTCTATGTACAAAAGAGGCACCATCAACACAAATGCTATAAATTTACTAGTCTCAACTAACTGGTGAAATTGAAGCCAACTGGTACTGACAGCTAGTGAGACAGCAGCAAATATAGTTTGACCTTTTGCTGAAAGGAAACATGGAGGTGCAGCTACCAAACAACTCAGTCATACCTGATAAAACTCTTAGTAAGATAAATAAGCCTTTCCATTATGCCATTTATTTTCGTTAGGCGGCATGTTTGCTGCACACAAGAGCTATTTCTCTAAAAGTCACAGTAACAGACAATTACAAGTAAAGTAAAATGTGAAACTCTCATATAAGGGACATCCCACATAAGGCTCATCCCAAGGGTAAATTTGGCCCAGAAAGCATTATGCCTCAATCCATAGCTTCTATGTCAACTCATGCTATCCAGGGAAGGGCAAAGAAAAAGTTTTAGAGGTTGGCCTGAGTATTTGGGCTAATCATCCAAAAGCTAGCAAAACCTTCCACTTCCTTTAGCTATTTACTATTCTAATGTACCAGATGCATCTATTTTAGAGTCTAAGACTGGCATGAAGAGATTGCATCAGCAACTACACAGTATGAGCACAGACTTACCACCAGTCTTTCCCCATAGACTCCACTTTACATACATACTTTCAGGAATGCACGTCTGATTAGGGAACACTTCTGCCCATCAACCACACTAATGCATTCAGATCAGATGAGCTGCAAGTCTCCACTTTGTGATTAAGGGACTGCTCTGCTACCTCTGGCAAGAAAGGATAATGCTGCTGCAGAATGACCTCAAAAGAAATTGTATATCCCATTAATTTCCCATTTTCTCTCCATTCTTAGGCAAAATAAACTGCACAGATGTACATCAGATGTCAAAGCCAAGCGTCTAATGGGTTCCATACACCATAGCCTGTACTTAGCTCAAATTAAGTGTTACCCACTTAGCTATGACTAGCAATCCCAAAAAGTTAGTCTCAATATTCTCAACATTTCCTCAAAAAAAACAAATTCCAACTAGAATATTCATGACTTTAATCAGAAATATATGTATACATACAGAAAAGTAATTCTTGCGCAAAGCACAGAGATCAAAATAAAGCATAAGTAAGAGCAAACCACAGTCTGTCAGCCAAAGCAATAGATAAAAATAAACAAAGCCTTAACCTTTCAGATAAACTAGGGAATTTGAATCATAATCCATTTGCAAACTCAAATGCAAAAGTCAGCAAATAATTTGAGGCTTGCACGCTCCAGACTAGAAGAAAACAGCAGCTTCAAAACTGCCTTTAGATTTAAATATACTATCACACAGGAGTCAGAGGTGGTTTCTCATTCCACATTTTCATTAAACTCAACCCATCCCACTTGTGCAGGTCAACGAATAAGTGCAAATATTAGCTAATATTCCACAGAAACAAATCAAGTAAAAAAAGTGTAAGGACAGTCAGCAGTTTGGGAGAATGGGTAACACATACTTTTTATCACTCAGTCATGGAACCAGCTCTAACAGGTAATAACTAAAACACTCTCCAAATAATACTTTTGCAAACTATTCAAACATGCTACTCAGTAGGAACTGATTTCATTTACTGGTGTCTTTACTGAAAGCATCAACAAACCAAGGATATAACCAATATACTAAGGAGAGCAAGGAGGAAGGACACATTGCCCTTCTTCCTCACAGTCAAATCCTTTCGAGTCTCAGGTAAAGCATGGTTAAACTCTGTGCCAGTAACAGTTTTCTGTAGAAAAAAAACGGGGGAAAAAAACCCCCTGTAAATGTAGTGCATTTTAGCACAAGAGTGCCTGAAATGTGTGCAATAAGGAATTTCCTAGCTTCCCAGGAGGATTTAGTTCTTGGATTCTAGGCTGAAGTTGGACACATCAAGCTTGTGACACTTTTATGCAGAGATTAGTTATTTGAGGTAAACATGATGAAGAACTAGAGAGTCAGAAATCAAGACAAAACCAATATTAAAGAAGCAATAGAAACTAATTTCGGACAACGTGCTTTTTTAACATTCTTGGGGAAGTCTACAGGAAGGGAACCATTACAATTCCTCAATCCTCTTCCAAATTTTTGCAGTAAATTAAAAAAAGAAGCAGCTATACACCTTTCACATTTACATTCTTTGTATCTTTGCGCACATGATTGACAATGTATCTCCCTAAATGCTTCTGTCTGATGATTTATATTCATATTTTTCCTTAATTTAGTTTTACTGTTTGCATTTTGTTAGCCACCCTCGAAAGCTGGAGTAAGACGTGATTGAGTCTTTTTATTCTTCAGTGACACATCTGACACCTCTTTCTCTCCCTACAGCTTTACCAACAAACCATCAGTTTCAGTTCTGCATACTACAATGAGAAGATGACAGTTTGGTACATGTACTCCCTTACTCTTAAGTCCCTACGTGGCAAAGAAATGATGAATCAGTATAGGAAAAATACTTCCTGCTTAATTTTCTTAATTTCCTAATCTTTCAAAGATAGGCCTGAATATACTCTAGAAATCATTCAATTTGTGGCCTGAAATACTACTACGTGTTTCTAGCGGCCAAGGGAAAAGAAACAAGTAGAAAAAAAAAGCATCAGTAAAAAAAAAAAAAAAAAAGGCCGATAAAGGATCTGACTGTGGAAGAATTAGAGCAGAGTTAACACCTTTTCCAGACAGGCAGAGCTCCAGCAGAAAAGGCCAGCGATTAGAATGAGCCAAGCATTATGCCTTATTGCCTTACTCCAGAATGGCATATTGGATACTAGCAGAGATAAATTATTTGGTCAGCAGCTAGCAATATCATCTTGAGAAAGGAAGTCTATCAAGTCATCAGCTTTCTTAGACAGAGTAACATTTCTCCATTAACAATAGAGCACTTCTTGTCTGATGAAGTCCAAGCAGAAAGCAACAAAGCGGAAAATAATTTCTCACATCAACTCGGTTAAGACAATCGCAAGATTGCAAAATCTGACAGACATCCAAAACACAGGCTTGGCTTGATTTTGAGAGGTTTTCACCTGCCGTTTTCATTATGGATGCTCAGTGTTTCTGAAAATTGAGATTATGGTGTAATGCTGAAGAAAATCCAGACAAAAAAGACAATCCCTTGCCCTCAAGTAAGCCGCAACTCCATTAATGTAAGAGGTTTCTCTAGCCTCGTTTTGAGGAGGTTTTTATTTGTTCATGATATCAAGTCACCACTATCTGACAAAGAAGCTAAAGGGACTCTTACGAGGAGGGAATCAGTAAATGAAAATACGTTACTACTTCAGGATGATGAATAATTTATATCCAATTTGTTCTGTCATCACAGAAAAGGTAAGTAGCACAAATAAAGACTCATTACTAGCGCACACAGTCATGATGTATTGCCTCGGAAATTTATTGCTGTATGAAACAGCCTTAACTCCAAAGCCTCAACTTCTGCTCTTTGTCTGTTCTCATTAATAGCTGGATTTTTCAATTACCAATAGTTAACAACAATCATTTATACATTAAGAAATTCCTGCAGCCTTCACAACTGAATGTTTGCTGGAACTTATTTAAGAGTTGAAAAGGATTTTGACATGCAATTCCTAACAACTTGGCTGCCTAACAACTTAACTTCCATTGCATATTCTGATCCTCCAAATTCTTACCTGGAGGCACGTCCCTACATTTTGCTTTCATAGCTCTCATTCCGACACTTCCACCTAAAATATTGGCATCCTTTCTCATCCCTCTCCTCATCGCTGGCTTCCTTCAACGTTCAATTCAATTTTACTGTTATTCAGCTCCTGTCCCAGCCTCTACCTTCATACACTCCCAGGCTCCACACTTTCCTGCCTATAGGCTTAATTCTATCTTTGAGACAGCAGTATATTTTGCTTTTGAATTTCATCTGCTGAAATCTTACACAGCACTTCAAAAATTCTTTATAATTCTTCTTTATGCATACAGAGAATGTAAACACATTGCAAGCGAGTTGGGCAAGTTATTCCTTGCGGATCACAACATTTAAGAGCACACTTACAGCATTAAAGAACTACATCCCTTCTAGTTTCTGATGGACAACAGAAGTGTTCTGTCTGAAGCGTATGTATTACATTGATCACAGTGAACTAGTAAGATCTAAATACATCATTCAGTTAACATGTCAGAAGAAAAGCTTTCACTCTACGAGAAGCCGATCAGCTTTACAGCATACCTGACAAGCAGGATCCAGATCCATTTTTCTTCTGAGAAATTTCTCCACATGTCCAACGGTTGCCTCCCCTGAAACACGCACAAACTTCTTTTCCAAAGGCTGCAAAGAACAAATATGAGATTTTACGATACTGTGCACTTCCAGCCGTCATCCCCCACAAACGCCAAAACAGTCCTGAAGGCCCAACTGAACAGGTGAAGACAACTTAAATTTTGGACCCATCTCTTATCTACTTCCCTATCACCCCACAGGAAAGGGACTAAATATGAATTAATCAGACTCTGGGTTCAAACTTGCTGCTGTTTAAAACCAAGCTTAAAAATAACTGGCTATTGACTTCAGTCTTTTTTCATTATTGAAGTACTGGAGAGTGAGATTTGCTATTAATTCAGCACAGAAATCAGTATCACGCAGAATTTTAAGAGCTTTTATTTCAGAAAATAAAATCATTTACTCAGAGGCATATGAGAGAGATTTTCTACAATCTGGTTCTTTTTCCTGAATCAGCCTTGTGTGTCAAACATTAATTCAGAAAATAAAACCACATCACTCTGTAATGCAAGGAGCTTTGAAGTTCTTTAGCATTCCAAAAGTATTATGGCTTGGGCTGCAAACAACTTAATTCATGAAATTCCAGAATCATTTAAAAAAATGCTACTAGGCAGAACACTAGGGCAAGACTGGTCTGAAATCTTCTCATATTGTTGCTAAATATTTTCATAGTGAGAATTACAATAGCAAGTCATTTATTATACCAATCACAAAGATTTTAATGGTTTTCTCTTCCATGACTAAAATTCTAAATAGCTGACAGGTGATATTGGGGACTAAGTTAAGAAGCATAAAGACAGAGCAGATGATTGCAATCCATGTTCACAAATTCTGAATAGCTGTGATTTGCTATCCAGCTTCACCAGGCTCTTTCCATTTGAATTAAGGTCAGAGTCTAGCCTTCCACTAAATCATGAATGCACATACGTATCCATGATAACTGTGGTTTTAGAAGAACAATTTGATTTCTATGTTTAAGAGCTAAAAATACCAGCCAGACCTGATCTGGGGACCCATGCTACTGCAAGTTTGGTGATGATACACATATGCTTGCTGCATGCCCTACCCTGTCATAAAGCTGAAAACCCTCTTATATATGAGGTTCAACGTCTAGTTCAGACAAATAAGACCGATAAAAAGGTAACGAAAGAACAATGTTAAGAAGAGAACAAGGGTAAGTTCTGTGAAAACTGGAAATTACGAGATGGATTTGGAAGATGGATAGGTAAACTACTTGGACATAGAGAAAGTATGAAGATTAAGGAAAGACAGAGGCAGCGAAGAAGAACATAAGGATAGAAAGGAGGAAGAAGTGACAGAGTTACTGAAGTACAGAGTTAAGATACAGCAAAGAATTTTGAAACGGTGTAGGAAAACACCAGTTTACGATTTTTAAGAAATACTACAATTTAAAAAAAAAATCTTTAGCTCTCAAATCTAAATATAAACGTATGCTGAATGGCACTTTAGTCCATAGATAAACCTAGCATACTAGTAAGACTATTTGCAGTAAAGAACTATTCACTGTGTTTAAAGATAGGCAGCCTTTCACGAACTTCAACATCCTCAGAACACTAGAGTTAAAGTGAGCAGGACGCCACTCATGACTTAAAAAACACCCTAAATCATAAACACTCCTTAATGATGTTAGAGCTAAGTTGTTGCTGTTGTTTTTTTTAAAATGGTAAAACGATTCCCTCTGGAATACACCTTTAAAAATTTGAAGAAATAAATGTCTAGCACAAGCATCTTTACTATTAGAAAACACAAGGTAATACAATAGTTAAACTGCCCTACAGTCATTCTTGTTGGGTCCAAGATAAACAGGATGAAAAACATATTGTAAAGAAGGTAAGCGTTGAGACAAGAAGGATGTGAAGCAATATAAAGGGAAGAAGCCACATTTAAAAAGCGTGAAAGAGAAGGGAAAAAATAGGAGAAAAAATGCCAGAGGGAAAAAATAACAAATGAAGAAGAAAACTGAATGCCTATGTTTTCAGAAACGTTCTTCCCTTCTGCAGGTTAATTTCTATTTATAAAATTGCACTCATAATTCAACTCTTCAGGACAATGAAGTCTTATTTCTGTATTTGTGAGTTAACTTTGTTTGAAATTGCATATTAAGCTCTGCCATAACAAACTTCATAACATGAGCAATTGCAATCATATCCAACTGTTCAGATTTATGCCTGAAAATATATTGATCAGAAATCAGTTCAGCTGAAAACATAAATGAAATTAATAAAACAGAACAATTAAGACAATCCATACTTAAGTTAGTAAAATGCTTTTTGCTCAAATTCTTAAACGGTAAAATTGGAGTTTCTCTGCTAACTGAAACAATTTAAGTGTCTCTTACACTCCATTATTCTGTGCCTTTCTGTATCTTTTTATTCCTACAATTCCAAGATAATACAAAATTAAGCGTGATATAATTTAAAATTGCACAGTATATATCTCCTTGCCCATGAATAGAGTCTGTTTTCTAAATGTTCAGCCAGTGAAATGAAACCCTCTGAACATCTCTAATTACAGACCACACAATCATGAAGGCAGCAAACAATGTGCAGTTTCCCTATGGATTTGTACTGATCCAGCTCTTGGACGAACAGCCATACCCTTTAGCAAGAATGAGGAATGCTATTTTTTGTTTCAGCTGAAGAGCCACCATTCAGGTAATGAATGTTGTCAGCAAAGAGATCAAGAGAAGAATAAATTTTTTGCTGAATAAGGAAGTCTAATGTGAGGGCTAGCAAAAATATGCATAATTATTTTTGTATATTTAAACACACATAATTTTATTACACCACTGTTATACCTCAGGCTACGCTTCCTCAGTGCAGCTGTTTCACATGTTTCACTACAATTAGAGCATCTTCTTAGACAACAGCTATACCCTTGTGTAGAATTCCAAGAAAAGCCACAGTAATTCCTCTCTTGGAGGGAGATGCAGGAATAACAAGCTAGAAACACCTAGATAAAATTTTTTAGCATCATTCCCATTCTCTTATGAAAAATGTAATTCCTTAACTTCTCGGGCCGTATCTTCCTACTCCGTGATGTTACACAGTGATAGATTTAAAAGCACAATATAAGCCAGGATGGGTTACTACTACGCTGGCGAAAGTTCAGGCTGTACTCAGTACAAGAAAAACAAAGATAAACTAAATTAAATACATTCAAGTTATACATATCTCTGAAGTAAATAACGGAAGAAAAAAAATTTAAATCACATCTGCACCTTAAAATTCCCTGTGCCTTCGTTAGCTCTGAAAAACAAGAGAAGAGTAAACACAATCAATATTGCTAAGATAAACAGTTGGATTAATACCCTTCAAGCCCTTAAATCAGTAAGTCACTATTATAATAAAGAGTCTGGCATATCAAACTTATTTTTTAAACCAGGCTCTTCCTTTCATTAAAATCTGAAAAATGAAATAATAGTAGACTGAATTTATATATCTTTTTCTCCTGCCCTTTATTTGGAACCCCCTTTCACTCTTGTGAACTCAGCTACTTGCAACTTCAAAGTCTGCTTTTATGAAATGGAAAAAAAGCAACAAAACACTGCCACATTTTATAAATACACTGTAACATTAATTTTCATAGGAATAGATCGCGATATTAATGCTGTTTAGACCTCCATAGCTCACTGCCCTCGATATTTGAAACTTCAACAGACAGTACCTAGAAGCTGCTGACAAAACGTGCCCAACCACTGCAGACACGCTCTGGCCCAAACGTCAACTTTCTAGACTATTTATATCACAGTATTAACACTAAGGCTATCTAGGAACTTGGGAAGGTAGTAGATGCTTCTCTGGAAGGTGAAACATGCACAAAGGTGTCAAAAGATTTTCCAGCTGGCTTTAATGAGGCTATAACTCATTGATTTGTACAGGCTGTGCACGTCAACTAGCGATTACACACTGCAGTACAACATGGGGAACACTGAGTATATAAAAATCTCTCAAGGAATTATGCCCAATTCACAACATCCTCACTACTCTTGCACTGCATTAGTGAGGATGCATGTACAAGAGAAGAGAAATGCAGTAACTCACTGCACTGGAGGAGGTAAAAATAAAATATCACTCTATAAATAGACTATACTTCTACTGACCATTTGGCACACAACAAAAGAAAACTCTAAAGCTTGTGCAGACCACACATTAGTATGACATTTCAGGTTACAAAATTTAAGAATCTCTAAAATATGTACCTGCCATGAGGCAGAGTTAAGTAAAACTATCATCAAATTCTGCTGCTGAAATGAAATTTAAAGCTATCAAGAAACATAGGCAGATAAGCTTTTCCACTCCAGCAGTCATTCTTCGTTATAGTTCTATTGCCACAGGAAAGATTTCACCATTTAACATACTGTAGAGACATTATATAGGCAATTTAAAACAAACTTTCAGAGCAAAAGTTTCTGTTGAACGGTCCAATCTGTTCTTTTCTTTATCCACAGAGCTTTCTTAATCTCTTATTGCCAAGGTAAGTTCCTTGATTTTGACATTTGAAGAGGAAAACAGACTAACCCTTAAACATATAAGGTATAACAAAGATTTAAAAAGTCACTATAATAAATTGCAAAATAGAAATAAAAAATAAAAATTCAAAACACATAACTGGAAGTTTGGGGATTTGCTGTTGTTAAGTCATCACCCTTCCTTGTTAGAAACTTTCTGTGCTTCCCTCCATCTAAGTAATGAAAACATATAGGATAGTTTTACATAGTATACATGGTATTTCCACAACATTTCTTGCTTTGCTACCAACACGGGAACGGAAGCTTCAAATCAAACTGGAAAGACAAATCTAAACACATTTAAAAAACAACCAGTTTCACACACAGACACGTAAATGCATATTACTTATGAGGTCTAAATTTCCTGACAACTGCCTCTTGCTCTGATAAAAGAAAAATGTACCTACTGAGAATCCCAGAGGGGAAAAAGCAACCAGGAACCTTTAGTAGGAGAAATCATAAACAAAGTACCTTCACTACAAGGAATTCAAACTGTATCTATTGCTTCAGTCAAGATAGTGACTCTATAAAAAGTTTCATGAGACTATGAAACAATGTTCCAACCTGAAAGGCACACACTTGGTATAAAAATCTAATTTCAGATTTTTAAAGTCATTTTACAATGTAACTGGCAATGTATCACTGAGAAAGACAAAGGGCTCTTGATATATGTGTGGGCCAATGCCCTTTGGCTGCCTGTGCTCCCTCTGCCATCTACTGGCCCAGCACACCACCGTCTGGTACTCGTGACAGGTCTCAAAAACAGCATCTGTCTTAAACTGCATCTAGACCCTGACTTAATGAGATACCACCACAGCTGAGGCAAGACAATAACTGCATACACAATGAGGTTTCAGTCAAGCGTTTTACCTTATGTCTGCGTACATACACTTACTCACATTTTACCCAATGGAGTAACAATCATATGCCTGAAAACCAGGTCACTGGGATTCTGCACTAATTACATCATGAATTTTATACTGCTTTCACTGAGGGAGAAAAATATGTCTACAAATTAAAAACTATATTTAAATTTAATTGAAAGTGTTCACTAAACAGAATAGGCAAGGGTTGCTCAGTGAACCGCTATATCATGTCTTGTCTCCTTATTCAGTACTTGACTGTTGGCTTTATTTACAACAACCCTGTTCTTATGGTAAAAGCATTACTTTCCTCAGTGGTCTCATTTCTTCATGCAAATGAATGTATTTGCATACCTTCCTATTTAGCAGAACGGCAATATCATACCTTGTTTAAAAAGAGGAGCCCAAGACAGAGATTGTGCCAGAATGTTACCAAGAACTGCATGTGCCCAATTTAAAGCATCCAAAATGATTTGTTTGCAGAACACTTCATACTACAGATTTAGTCAATGAGTCCCATTGCTTTCAGGTGCACTTGCGAGCATTTAGCATTTCTGTATGTCAGGCACAGAGAAAATGAAGAACATAAATTAAGTCAGGTGTGTGGAATTACACGGAGACTCTAGCACAGGCAGGGTTGAATTTAGTTCTCGACTGGTTTAACTGTAAGACCTTCTCTTCGCTTCTTACGATCCTACATCTCATCCAGTTAAAGAAACAAAGAAAAAAACCCACATGACCAAAGTTTATCTATAGAGAAAATCTGTTCTGCATTCTGAGTAAAGCGGGGCACAGTGGAAATATTGGACGTGATATCATGACCTAGTCTTTTTGTACGTTATCTACAAAGAGTGAGCTTCAATCAAGATGGCATGCTTTGCTGCTAGAATTTCCCAGTACTTGAGGGCTTGACTTTACATCATTAGTGTAATAGTTTGCTATGATTATACACTTGAGTTCTCTGAACAATTTGTTCAGACAAAATCAGGCCAAAAGCAGGCACAATCTGGGTAGAAGGGTAAGAGTTGCACAACAGTCAAGCTACTCCCTCCCCCACAAAGTGAGGTGCTCCATTGTGTGCAGTTATCAGAGCGGTGATAGCTCTTACCCCATGCCCTCCCTTCCTCAATCACTCTCCTGTAAATCTGCACCTGGACAAAGCAATGCAATTTCTGCTTCCTCTGTTCCTGAAAACAGTTCAAATATTTTGGCAGGAATTTCCCTCTCACAATTTATATCTAAGGGTGATAAAAAAAAAAAGCTTCTGCCTAATTGATTAAAATCACGGAATCTGTCAGACAAATTTAAGAACAGCCTGTATTATTAGCCCCATCAATAACAGTTAGAGGAATGCTGCTCTTGCCACCCAGGTTTTCTAGCTTGCTTTGGTCAGATAAATGCAGAATAAACCTTGCTGCCTATAAATTATCAAACTGCCACTGATTGTGATTTGCCAAATTCCCTGCAGGCATCAAATTCCTAATGCACTGTCAAAGAAGCTCTTAAGCCACAAACGTGGGAAGCCAGCGCAGTAAGAAGGCATTTCTTCTGCTGAAGTAGCACCAAGGCTGCATGCATTCTGTTTCCAGTGAGACCTAACTAGTATAATTGACCTATACCGCCCAGCAAAGTGGGACTAGTTATAAGACTCTCCCAGGCATACAGCATCAGAGTGACACTATATGTTGTAATTCTGAAAAATGTATTCCAATCACTCATCTTCATGTGCTATATCCTGAAGAAACTGCTCCGCCCAAAACATTAATACTCCAATCACAGTGAATTCAGCGCCGTTTCCTTGCTTTCCTTCCCTTAGTTCTGAAGTGCTACGGCTCACCTTCCTGGTGAGTTATCTTAGAATGCGGTATTTTCTGGCTAATAAAAGCATGTAATGATGTACAGTTACAGTCCCCTAGTGACCTGAGCTAGTTCTGGGAGAGCATCAGCATTAGCAGTACTCCCACCTACAGGGATTAAGGGAGCATCAGAGAGGCAGGTCAGACAGTTACTCAGTTTACTGAAACTGCACTGCTTTGTTAAAAATAAACAAAGTACAGGTAAGTTTTAAAATTCTAAACTTTTCAGGAAGCTGTTTTTATAGGAAGACACTTTAAATGTTTAACTGTACATCTAGCCATGCACCGCTGACTGCTACTATCGCAGCAGCAAGTTCACATTGCTCCCCTACCCGCTATTTAGGTGGAGGAAACATATGTTGAGTGAAACCTTAGGAGTCAGTAATGGTCCAAGACACAGAAGCAGCATCCTCATATCAGGCATCTGCTCGTAGTACATTTGCCCACAACTCACCCAATGAACTCCAGAAGTATCGAAATATCGAGTTCTGGTGGGATCCGGAACACAGAGCCCAGAACTTTTCGAGGTCTTCCTCTGCTCACTGGAACTGGCTGGGGGACAGCTAAAATATCCAAATAGCCAAAATGAAAACACAACTTGAAATAAAAACAGCATAACATGCCAACACACAGTAAGCAAAACAGATGAGCTCATAAGGAAAAAGTGCCCATGCATTTCACCCTAAGTATTTCACTAAATCAGCTCTTTATTCATTTCATTCTGCATATCTAAACCACTAGCATTTTCTTAGCATTCAGCATGGCATCTCTTGAAATAGCTGTTTGTTTGACAGTAAGACAAACTCTCATGTGTCGATGGACTCTAGTGTTTAAAGTTCTTATGCTTACACTCTCTTATACCTTTTATTATTTATTAAGACAAGAAAATAAAAAGAATGCTCATTTTATAAACATTTTCCTCGTTCTAGGCAGAATAAGATCTGTAACTAAAAATAACAAAATCCAACCACAATCTGGTTTCAAGTGCTGTCAGTGTTATCCTGTATTTCTGTAATTTGAGTACTGTGACAAAGCACAGTAATCAACAACCAATAATCCAATTTCTTCAGTTGTGAACTAGCATTTCAAGGGAAGTTATTAAAAATTAATGGTATGCCAAATATCTCCTTAACAGCGTCCTCTAAAGTGATTACAGCCCACCTGGTTTGGGAACTTCTAATCCTCTTTCTTTATAGAAGTCATGCATTTGTTTTTTCTCTCCTGGAAAAACACAACACAGAACAGACTGGAATGTTATTACAGAAGCTGAGAATAGCCGTATAGTCTCCCATAGTCAGAACAATTCTGGCTAACATTAGTAAAGGCATTGCAAGCATTGACAGACCTTCGCTGTCACTAGTATTCCCTATGACATTGGTCTGCTTAAGATACCTAGACTAAGATTTTGTTAATAAAAACCGGAAAAAGAAAAATCAGATAAGTCAGTCATAAAGCATAACGAACAAGCTATAAAACTAGCAGCATCCTTCTGTCCTTCTGACTGTCACAACTCTCTCTCTCTCTCTATATCTATACATTGATCTAAATACAGTCCACTAGGCGTGTCTTTCACTCAGTCCACCCTAGTGGACTGCGTAGCACTATCAGATTCATCGCCTCCTCACATTCAAGGAAATTGGCACATGACAGTGAATAAGCCTGGTAAATCTGAAAAAGAAACGTGCCAAGGAGAGAAAAATAAAGATACCTGAGAGAATTGAGCAGACCTAGCAACTTTTTGCAAGGGAGACAAATGAACTTATGATGATTAGACAGAATGACATTTAGTGTACATATCACAGAAACACGAGGCATGATACTGGAATATTACCTGGATGTTTTTCTGGAAACAGTGAAATGTTTATGTTATGAGATAAGAGAGCAAAAAGAACACCTGCAACACAACGACTGCTTTGTCCAATGCCAGATCTGGAACAGGCTTTTTAAAAACATCAAGCAAAACTTACCTTTAATATCGCTATTATTTCATTGTAATGATAAAAAAAATAAAAAATCTAGATCACCATTGCATATTATGCACACATTTACATGTCTAGTGTACATATAACCATATATAATAGCATCTTAGCAGTCAGAAAGATGCTCGTTGGTATGGTTGATTCATTAAGATTAATAGTTAAGTTCCACTATATCTCGTAGTTTTACGAGGAAAACATTACAAAACTATTTTAAGGAGCCCAGTGTAGAAACGGGGCTTTGAATTCTTCTCTTTTCTTTTCAGTCTTTCCAATATCTAGATGGTAATAAGATAAAGAAAGGTACTTACTTTCCTCCAAGTTGACAACTAATTTATACACTATGTCTTGCAATTGCCGGTCCAGTCTATGAAAGAGGAAAAAAATGAAAGCAAGTGCCCTTCAAGTTTGGAAGTCTAAAGTGCTTATGTTACTACAAGCTGGGTAATTCAGGAAACATGCTACAATGCAGACATTTTTGGTGCCCAGAATCTTTTACATTAAACCATAACAAAGCTGCCAAACACACTGCTGAAGCAAGCGACAGATGGAGTTGCTGATCTCTCTTCCCAAAGTCAGGTCTTGACAACAGAGCTCCAATAAAAGAAGCCACAAAGAGGGGGAAAAAAAAAGAAAAAAGAAAAAAAATCCTTCAAAAATGGTTCAGGAAACTAAAACTCTTATTTACAGAGTTAGTAACAAGTATGCTATGCAAACAAAGTTTTGTCTAAAAGGTACTCAAAGCAAATAGTTAAGGTTTAGTTTCACCTAGGCAAACGCATAAAAATATCCAATGAGGTGCAGGTGAAAACAAACCCTAGAAAGTGTCAGAAACTGGAGAAAAGAAATTGAGCAATTATATTCTCATTGCGGAAACTATATGAAGCTCATATAAACAAAGAACATGATGTGTTTCTTGTAGCTGATCCTTCACTTGAAATAGGAAAGCATTACAAGACTGTAAAACAAAACCAAAACCCCCTGAAAGAACAAATTTAAAGTAAACTTTCTGACAAAAATTACACCTATAAAATGGCACAAACATATTACCTGATGTTATAAAGGGGCTGCGTCTGATGTACGACAATATTACATTTTGGACATCTGTTGCTATAGTAGAAGTGTCTCACTATGCAGCTTTTACAGACTATAAAGAAAAAAAACCATAAAAGTCACATGTCCTTTATAAAATAGCATGTGCTTATACAAGAGGAGAAATTACATGCAGACTCGTCACATAAAGGTTGCTTGAGACAAAACGAAGACAGTCCTTCAACAACGCTATAAAACCCAAGCAAATCCCAGCCCTGCCTGTACAGGATATAACGCTCTTCAGTATTTATAGGTCATAAATTGACTGACGTAAAGGAAGAGGTTAAATATTATGACTGTGCTATCCAGAAAAAAAGAGAGCTAAATGAACAGAATACTATCTGCTGCAAACAAAAAGTTTGCTGAAAAACACCCTACCAACAGTTTCAGTAGAAGAACTAAGGTAAGAAATTATAATTCTGCCTTTTCTATTGTATTTTATGCCTATTTTAAAAATCAGAAAGGAAAGCTAATGAGTAGGGATATCTGAAATAAATAACTTACTATCAAATCAGCGCCATATTAACTTGAACACTTTAAACTGTTCCAGACCACTTACTAGAACATTTTAAAGATATTAAACAGTTGTATGTAAAAAAAAATATGCTGTCCTAACTAATAACTGTTCGTTTTCCTAAATAAAAACTGCACTGAAGATTAGATGGTATATATCAACTCATTAAAAAAAAAAAAAAAAAACAGACAGAAAAATCAGAGTTTGTGAACTGTTAGTGACCGGAAATACCAGGGAGCAGAGATTCTTCAGCTCAGATGGAAACGTGCTTTAAAGAGCCAGTTTCAGAGAAAAGGATTTAATAGCTTTGGGAGAAAATACCAGTTCTGTTAGTAATGGAAAAAATCTGTTATTACAACACAAGGACTGAGAGGAAAATAACAAAATAAAAACAGGGAAATAAGTTTTTGATTATCCATCTACAGATCAGGTTATGGATTAGCTGTTCTGTGGATCCATATAATTGTTTCCACATCTGGAACTGCTATTTCCACGTAGCTGTGTCTTCAGGTTTGTGAACTTATCAGTTCACATCAGCAACAGTTTAGGAAACTCTCCAGTCCACTATAAGCAGTGCCTCTCAGCTTCCTTTTCTCAGTAACATACTTATTACAATTTCTTACAGTCTACTTTAAAAAATAAATAAATAAATAAATGAAAAGCAGCCCTGATGGCAGAGTTATGTAATTATCTATTGACATTCACGACTGTAACCACAACACATGCTCACTTTGAAGCTACAAAGGTCTCATCCAGAACAACAGAGCTGCTGTTTTTAATTTAAATTCACATCTGAATTCCCAGAATGAAAATACTGGTACTTACAGGTGTGCAGACATTCTGTAATGGTTGTAGCATCAATAAAGTAACCTTTGCAGATGGAACACAGGATGTAAGGGGTCAACTCGGAAAGGTTTATCATGCGCTACAAACCAAAACAGTTGATAAGTTTGGATACACACAATAAGCCAAGATAGTTCCTGATTCTTTCCTCTGAAACATCACAACCTTTGGACGTATTAAAGACGAAAAAGATCTGAGTCATCATGCTGCAGAAATGGGTTTTTGTAAGAGTGGGCTTTTGTCAATCATTCCTCAGATAAAAGTTATTTTCTAAAGACTTTCATCTACTTTTCTGCGTTGCCCTCTTTGTGAACGGTGATCTAACTTATTTTATGAATCATATCTGAAAAGCAAGCCACAAACAGCTCTCTTAGGAGGAGACCTATCAAATATCAAACAATCAGCAAGCTTGAAGCGGCTACCAGCAGCAAATCAAGTTGTTATTTGAAGAGCGCTTAACAAATATGTGGGGGTCCTCAATCAAAAAGCAGAGCTAGCGTTTTTTCTTGTTTCGATCCGTAGCTACCGTTCACAGAAACACATAGTGAAACAAGGACTGAAATGTCACTGCTTTGAATTCTGATTAAGAAGTACGTTTACCAGGAAAGCATACAAGGAGTTTCACAAGAATTTTTCTGACAGAAGTTTATGACTTTGAATAAGAATAAATTTATTCTATAGCAGTGGTTTTCAATCTGAGGTTTGTGGATGCCGGCTGCCTGAGAAAGGTAACATTGTAAATTTTTGTTATGTCTCAAAGCCAGACTGAGGGGTTTGCGCCATTCATACTGCCCACATGCCACTGCTTACCAGCCTCCCAGGTATGCCAACGGTTTGCACAGACTTCATTTAAAATTAGACTGATAAAACGAACTCGGGCAACAGAAGTAACGATAAAAAGTCTATTATGAGAAGGCTTAAATTGCTTAAGCAGGAGTCCACATTTACACTGGAAAGTTTTTAGGAGTACCTAAAAGCGTGTAAGTTGAAACCGGTTGCTTTGCCGGACTAGCCTGAAAACCGAAGACTTCTGAAGTCGTCAGGGTGCTTTGAAGCCGTTGCGCTTCAAATCGGGCAACTTCTCCGAGGTAGCGCAAGCTGCCCACCCTGCTGCCAGCACGTCGTCCC